TGCATCTCAGTTAAAACATTTTTAATTTCGGCCTGATTAGATTTTATTTCTGCACTAAGAGATTCCCTAGTGTCTTTTATGCTTTTCTCAAGCCCAGCTAGTAACTTTATAATCGTTATCCTGAATTCCAGCTCTGACATTTTACTTATATCTCTATCAATTAGATCTGTGGCAGAGACTGTTACTTCTGGTTCTTTCTTTTGTTGTGAATTCCTCCTTTTAGTCATTTTGCCCAGAGAAGAATGGATGAACGAGAGAACAAAATGAAAAATATCAACCACTACCCAAGCGAAATACACACTAGACAAATCAAAGAGGTCACAAGCCAAAAGAGAAAACAAAAAGAAAAAAAAAGTGAAAAAGAGGGTATATAATTTCCCAGGTGGACAAAATAGGGTGAATCACTTGGTCCTAGGTATATTTTGGTTTGTTATAAGACACTAAATCCCAAAATTGTGAAGAATGCAAAACTTATATATATACATATATATAAATAAAATTGAATACAGTGAAAGGAAACAAAAAATGAAGAATGTATCTATAAAATGTAAATCTAAAAATGAAAATTGAAAAAAGACTTAAAAGAGTTGATAAAATAAGAAACTAGTTGAAAAGGAAAAAGGAAAGAAAAAAGTAAATTTTAAACTGAAAGAATAAAGGCTCATGCGAAAAAATACCTCTGATTTTTTATACTGTTTTCCCCTAGCACGGGAGTTTTTAAGTTATGAATGATCTATAAACTTGGTATTCACCTGAGGATCCTGCTGGTCTTCTGGGGGAGGGCCTGTTGTACTGATTCTCAGGTGTCTTTGCCTGGGCAGAGTTGCACCACCCCTTGCTAGAGGGCTGAGCTCAGTGTAAGCTGCTTCAGTTGCTCTATGTGGCTTTTGTTCCCTGAAGGCTTTTCGCACCACTTTAGAGGATGGAAGTAAAAAAATGGCAGCACCCCGCTCTCCAGCCCTGGAGCTGAATGATTTCAGCCCCCACTCTTCACTGCACCCTCAGGGAAAGGCAGTCAGTCCCTCTCATGTGCACCAAACTCCGCATACTCCTGCAGTGCACACACACACCAATCCTGGGGGTTGGGGGATGTCTCATTATACCCCACCACTGGCTGGGCCCCTGCTCAGGGAATGTTTGCCCTATCCTGTGCACACCTGTGCTGCTACTCCAAGGGGAAGGAGCCAAATCTCGCAGCAGTTGTTGCTTGCTGGGCCCCTGCTTGGAGAGCAGTCACCTGATTTTGCCATGGTTCATGGTTTATGGCAACACCTAGCTGAGAGGCCTTTCCAGGGCTCGCTAATTGTAGCCAGCTTCCTTGCTGCAATGTTTGGGAGCTCTGCCACACTTAGGCACCCCCGTTCTTTCTGTGACCCTGGGGATTCTGAGACCACACTGTCCCACCTACATTTCTGTCCCACTTTACCACCTGAGCACCTTTCAGGCAGGGACCTTCTTCACAGGAGCAGACTTCTAAAAGTTCCAATTTTGTGCTGCACTGCTATATCACTTACCAGTAGCCGGCTTATGGAGGCTCCTTCCCCCCATGGTTTATCTTCTGATATATCCCCCCTCAGATTCATATGTCCGCACCTCCTACCTTGCAAAACGTGGTTACTTTTCTATTTGTAGAATTGCAGCAGTTCTTTTCTTAGATCTCAGGTTAAATTCACAGGTGTTCAGAATGATTTGATAGACATCTAGCTGAATTCCAGGGACCAGATGAAATGAGGGCCCCCTACTCTTCTGCCATCTTTCCTCCCTCTTCCCAATTAAAGATATTTTCTAATATTTTTTATGATTTTTTGATCCATGAGTTATTTAGAATCATGTTGTTTAGTTTCCAAATACTTGGGGATATCTCCAATTTTCTGTTGTTTTCTAATTAAATCTTTTTTAATTGAAGAATATATTTTGTGTAAATTTAGTCCCTTTAAATTCATTGAGACTTACGGCATTGGGTGTAGACTATCCTAGAGAAAGGTCCTACATGCTCTTGTAAAGTATTTGTATTATGTTGTTGTTGGATGGAGTGTTCTTTAAATGTCAGTTAAGTTAGTTGATTGTTTTGTCTAGACTTCTGTATGCTTACTGATTTTCTGTTTTGTTTTATTAATTTTTGATAGATGGTTATTGAAATTTCCAAATATTTTTGAATTGTCTATATTTTCAGTTTTGACAATTTTTGCTTTATGTATTTTGGTGCCTCAATGTTATGGGCATATAATATGTTCCTGGGCTATTGATTCTTTCATCATTATGAAATGTTTCTCTTTGACATTTTAAAAAATATTTCTTGCCTTAACATCAGCTTTTTTTTCTGTTTTAAATATTGCCATGGTCATTGTTTACATGATACGTCTTTTTCTGCCCTTCTACTTTCATCCTTTTGTGTCTTTTTGTCTAAACTGTCTCTTATAGACTAAATATAGTTGAGGTTTCCTTTTCCATCTAGTCTAATTTCTGCCTTTTGATTAAAGTGTTTAGTCCATTCTCACTGAACGTAATTATTGATCTGATTGCATTTATGTCTTCTACTTTGATACTTGTTTTCTATACATCTGAAGCGTTTTTTTCATTCTCTCTTACTGCTGCCTTTTTTGTTAATACTTTTTAGTGCATCATTTAAAATTTTCATTTTTTTAAATATTTATTTATTTATTTGAGAGTGAGAGAGAGCAGAAGCAGGGGGAGGGGCAGTGAGAGAGGGAGAGATGCAGCCTCCCCACTGAGCAGGGAGCCTGACAAAGGGCTTGATCCCATGAGCCTGAGATCATGACCTGAGCCAAAATCAGTAGTTGAATGGTTAACTGACTGAGCCACAGGCACCCCTTTTTCTTGATTTTTAAAACTCTTATTTTAGTTTTGCTTAGTGGTTCCTCTCTTTATTACAATATTTGTCTTAATTTATGACAGTCTACTTTTGATTAAAACTAACTTAATTTTGGTAAAATAGAGCAACTTTGTTCCATTACAGTTCTGTAGCCTTTTCCTCATGTTATTATTGTCACATAAAGTATATCTATATATGTAATAAACTCAACAATGCAGTGTTATAATTATCTCTTTATGTAGTGCCACATTTTTCAAAGAAATTAGATTAAGAGAGAAAATATATTTATTAACATATTTACCATTTCTGGTGTACTTCATTTTTTTTGTGGATTCAGGTTACTTTTTGGCATAATTGCTTTTTAGCTACGTGGGCTTCTTTCAGTATTTCTTGTAAGGAAGTTTTGCTGTCATTGAATTATCTTGCTATTTGCTTATCTGGGAATATTTTGCCTTCATTTTGTTTTTGGTTTTTAAAATTTTTTGTTATTGTAGTATATTTGATATTTTCCTTATTTTGAATGATAGTTTTGTTGGATACAGAGTTCCTGGCTTTGTTCTTTTTTGTTTTCAGTATTTTGAATCTTCTGACTTCTGTCTTTTCTGATATAAAAGTTAGTCATTAATTATATTGGTTTTCATTTGTATAAGGTGAATTGTTTTTTCCTTTCTGCTCTCTGAATTTTCTGTTTGTCTGTAATCAGTTTGACTATGATTTCTCTAGGTTGGTTCTCTTTATGATTATTCAATTCTGTACATAATTAAGTTTGGGAAGTGTTTGGGCTTATTTGTTCAGATATTTAATTTTCATTTCTCTTCAGGCATCTCTGATTTGTCACATTTTCTCAAACTTTCCATGGTTTTGATGACCTTGACAGTTTTGAATAGTGGTCAGGTAGATTGTAGAATGTCCCTCAGGTAGGACTTGTCTGATGTTCTTCTCTTGGTTAGATTGATGTTATAGCTTTCTGGGAGAAAGAACACAGAAGTAACTAAGAATTACCATTTGTAACACGTCAAAGGTTCATGCTGTCAATTTGAATTATCACTAATTTTATTAACCTTGATCCCCTGGCTAAGATAGTGTTTGTCAGATTTCTCCATTGTATAGTTACTCTAAAATTTTTTCTATGGTATCCTCCTTGGAAGCAAGTCACTAAGCATAGCCAATACTGAAAAGGTGGGGAATTATTCTCTACCTCCTTGAGAGGAGAATTCCTACATAAATTATTTGCAATTCTTCTGTAACGGACATTTGTCTGTTCTCTCCTATTTATTAAATGCTATTTTAAGTGTCAGTGTGGACTTATATTTATTTTATACATTGTGCTATAAACCAATATTATTTATTTTGTTGCTCAAAGTGTTCCAACTTTGGACATTGGGAGCTCTTTCATTTGGCCCCTGTGACCCTTCAACATACTTCATAATTTTATTTTTTGAACACTTTCTTGCTCTTCTGGCACTGCAAGATCCTCCATACTCATCTTGTGTTTTCTCTACTCCACCCCTAGAATCAGCCATTTGTTTAAGGAGTCTTGGTTCCTTTTATTGGAAAGTTTTTTAAGAAAAAACCTCTGTGTTGAGGTTCCCTATTTGTTGAATCATTGCCATAATATTTTTCTTTAGTTTGACATACTTTCTTTTAATTCTTTGAACATATTTGTAATAGCTGTTTTGTAGTCTTTGCCTACTAAATACAGCATATGGCCTTCTTCAGAGACAGTTCCAATTGACTGCTTTTTTCAAAGCCTGGTCATACTTCTTTGTATGTCTCATAATTTGTGATTGTTTCCTTTGCTATTTCTTTTGTGTTTGTGAGTCCATGCCTTTTCTATTCATTTCTTGTGGTTTTAGTGGTTTTTTGGAAGGCAACAGAGATAAATATGTTTTCCACATGCCGTATATAAATGAGAGCTCTAGAGGTAGTATTTAAACCCATACCTGGTATGGGTCCAGAAACCTATTTTTATAACTAAGAATTTGTGTCGCTTCTTAAACATTTATTGAGCATTATATTTGGGACTTAGGCACTCAGATAAGAATAATTTAAAAAATAATATCCCTTTAGAATATGTAAGCCTCTGTATCCCAATTGTATTTTTTAACTTCATGAGATTTGTTACTCCAAGCAGTTGAGTTTATAATTTTTACTGTCTTTCTTACAGAGATAGGGAAGAACGATTGGCCGCACTCACAGCTGCTCAACAAGAAGCAATGGAAGAGCTACAGAAAAAAATTCAGCTCAAGGTAAGGATATTATATATTTTAATTTGGAATTCTAGAGCTTTCAATGGAGCATGAGGTTAAATTTTTTATTTATGGAATTGTGTAAAAATTTTAATTAATTTGAATTCTTAATATTTGGATAATGAGACTTATATGATTTGGTTATGATCACTTCTAATTCAGCTATCAAAAAAACTAAATTTTTTTTTTTAAAGATTTTATTTATTTATTTGGCAGAGAGAGACAGCAAGAGAGGGAACACAAGCAGGGGGAGTGGGAGAGGAAGAAGCAGGCTTCCCGCAGAGCAGGAAGCCCTACGCGGGGCTCGATCCCAGGACCCTGGGGTCATGACCTGAGCCAAAGGCAGACGCTAAACGATTGAGCCACACAGTTGCCCCCTATGTGTCTAAAATATATAAATAGGGGCGCCTGTTTGTGTTCCCCCTCTCGCTGTCTCTCTCTCCCTCTCTCTGTTAAATAAATAAATAAATAAATAAATAAATCTTTTTTAAAAAATAAATTTATTTTAATAAGATAAAACAATGTGGAGAATAATTAAAGGAATTTTAACATTTCTTGTTTTTGTACTAACCAATTTGTCAGTGACTTGAAGGCATTACTATTTGGCTTCTGATATTCATACTTTTAATTATTTGCAAATAAACTAGAAGATGATTAGTGTAATTAGTTTCACTTGCTTTTCAGTGCTTGTAAGTTGTGCAATTGTAACTTGGGAAATTATGATTAACTGCTATTTTCTGGAAAGTCTTTAGCATTAGTAATACAGTTTCTAGCAGTATATGTCACACTGTGTAACAATTATTTACACATTGGCTCCTCATGGAGATAGTAAATTTCATAAGGTAGAGGACAATATTTTATTATTTGTGTAGTCCTAGAACTTTTATCATTCATTTAAATTTAATGCAGCAAAAATTTATTGAGCTTTGTGGTAGTTATGGGGTACAGAGATGAGTAAGGCATGATCCTAAGTTTCAAGAAACTCTTAAACTAGTGTGAGATTCAGATGCTGATAATTTCCATATGGATAGAGGTATACTTGGCGTGCTATGGAAGTACAGATGAGGACACTTGGTCTAACATGAAGGGTTTCAGAAGTCAGAGGAAACATTTTAGAGAATAACTCCTGAGTTGAAAGAGAGATGAGTTTAATGGATAGAATAGGTAGGTTCCAGTCGTATGAAAAAGTATGAGCATGAAGTCAGAAGTCTGGAATTGTGTTTTTTTCCAGCTTGGTTGTTTTTCTTTTGTTTGTTTTTGGGGGAAGTCACTGGAAGTGTAGAACAACCAGAAATGGTGTGGTGTGGAGTTAGTGTGAGTAGAGGTCTGTATCACGATGAGGTTTGTCTACTATCAGGATAAGCTTGGTCTTTACATATGGGTCAACATTTCCCATTGTGTATTCCCCAATGTGCTTCTCCAAAGTATGTTGTAGTCAAATAAGTGTGTAATATGTTGCTTAGTATAGCTAGGTTTAATTGAGTCTTAGAGCACAGAAACATACCAGAGGCTCAGAATAGTTCCATGTTAAAAACCTGTTTAGCTTTAATTTACTGTTCTTCAAATTTATTTGATGATAGAACCTTTTCCACAAAACATTTAACAATCCCCCATGGTATAGTTCTATGAAGCACACTTTAGGAGACGTTACTGTGCATGCAGGAGATATTAAAGGGCTTTATGTAAATTCTTGCTTAGTGTTCAAGTTAACACTGAATTAAGACATTCTTCTTTTATTTTAGAAAATTTAATGGAAATACTATTTTTTCAAGTTCTCAGTATAATTTGAATAATTTTTTATATTCTCACACTTTGACTTCATTCACAGCATGATGAAAGCATTCGAAGGCACATGGAACAGATTGAACAAAGAAAAGAAAAAGCTGCTGAGTTAAGCAGTGGGAGGCATGCAAATACTGATTATGCCCCCAAACTGACCCCTTATGAAAGAAAGAAGCAATGTTCCCTCTGCAATGTCCTGGTAGGTTGTCATTATTAATATTGTGATGATATAATTTATTACTAAAGTTTATTAAACTATGGAAATATATTCTCCAGTCTTTTAAGATTCATACTAAGGCATGTGATGAGTACCACGGATTTCTGTCATGATTTTTATGCAAAGTAAGTACTAGAAAAATAGTATTGGCATTTAGGAGTAGCAGTGCAAAGTGCTGATGCAAGCAGTTGCTGCTGAAATGGCTATACCTGCTTAATTGTTAGCCCAAGCAATATTTTTGGGTACTTGGACCAAAAAAGAAAAGAGTATTTTTAGTGCTGAAACTTGAACTTTGATACTCAGAAGAAATGATATCCTGTTAAGGTTGGCCACGAAGGCATAGTTTTTTTGACCCAGTATCTTCTAGGGGATTATCAGAATTGTGTTTTAAGGAAAATATTTCTAAGCCTAGTATGAAAAGGCTAGAGTGATCTCAACTTGCATATAGCATACTGGCTTGAATATGTAATATTTATAATTAGATATAATTATATGTTGATTACAATTGCTTTGATTTTATGCTTTTAGATCTCTTCAGAGGTGTATCTTTTTAGCCACATTAAAGGAAAAAAACACCAGCAAGCTGTGAGAGAGAATAGCAGCATCCAAGGGCGTGAACTTTCAGATGAAGAAGTGGTAAGCTTTACTTTCATTCATTTACACATATTTATTGAATAATCTAGTATGCTCTCTTTTATTATAAAGAATTGCATGTTCATATGTGATTATTTAAAACTATAACATTTAATAACTAATAAAATATATAAATGTGTCACTTTAGTGTACATTTTAACAAACATAGGAATAAGAGTGTAATACTGTTATATAATTTTAGTGCAAAAAAATGTTATCGTATTTTGATATTTTAATATCAAAGGAACTGGAGTGTATTATGCTAAGTGAAATAAACCAATCGGAGAAAGACAATCATCATCTGGTTTCACTCAAATGTGGAATCTAAGAAACAGTGCAGAGGATCATAAGGGAAGGGAGGGAAAACTGGATGGAAAGAAGTCAGAGAGGGAGACAAAGCATGAGAGACTCTTAGCTATGGGAAAAAAACTGAGGGTTGCTTAAGAGGAGGTGGGTGGGGGGATGGGGTACCTTGGGTGAGGGGCATTAAGGAGGGCACGTGATGTGGTGAGCACTGGGTGTTACACGCAACTGATGAATTGTTGAACACTGCATCTGAAACTAATGATATACTATGTTATCTAATTTTGGCTAATTAAATTTAAATAAAAAAATAGTAAAGGAAAGATTTGTTTAGTGATGCTCTACATTTCTTGTAAAATAGTTAACGATATGAATGTCATATAAATTGACACTTTTGTATGAATACAGTATTTAGAAATTTTCAGAAATGCATTATTTATCTACTTATAATTGTTTATAATGGAATTTAGATTTGTATGAATATTTTTATAAATATTTTACATATAGCTGTTATCTAGACATGGATGACATTGCTAATCTATGAATTTGTTGGTTCTATTTGTAATAGCAAATTTCTAAAGCTACCCAAAGATGAGACATTCATGTTTGTCGAGCATCTCTTAAGATGCCCAGGAAAGGTTATTGTGGTTCTATGAGGGTAGTACCTGTGTATACATGCATGTGTGTGTTTAACTCTTTTTTTTCCCAGTGTTACATATATTAAGAGTACACAAATCTCAAGTATATAGTTTGATTAATATTTACATATGTTTCACTCACATGAAGATATAGATTATTTCTTGTACCCCAGAAGGCTCTCTCATGTTCTGTCCCAGACATGTCCGCAAAAGGTAACTAGTCTCTGACTCTAGCACCATCAGTTAGTTTTGTCTGTTCTGGAGCTTTACTTAAATGTTATCAGTCAGTATGAACTTTTTGTGTCTGGTTTCTTTCACCCATCCCTAACTCTGTGAGATTGATGTTTAATGTTTATATGAAGCTATAGTTCATTCTTTTTTGTAGCTTTTTGTCAGTGCTTTCTAGGCAAAGACCATCAGGAACACATCTGTAGTTGAATAAAATTGGGTTTTATTAATTTATTAAAAGAATGGAAAATACATACTATGGGGAGTTATGGAGTTTCTCAATAAGATGTTAGAATGAACTTACAGGATTTGGGCTTGTGCTAGGTGATTTGGTTGGGGAGGGGAGAGTTCAAGGACTTGGGGCTTTGGTCTGGATTGAATGCTGTCAGGAAGCACAGGTAATTTTGTGGTTGCTTCTTAATAAATCAATAAATCTTAGTGAAATAGGAGCACCAAAGCCACTGTTTTCTCCTGAGTTTCTGGACATGACCAGTGCTTGAATGGAAATTGCACATAGTTATTCTCTGTGATTTTCTCCTTTTGAGGATTTTCCCCCTCAAGTTCTAATCACTTTGGCAGCTCGAAACCAAGTTCTGTCTCTTCAGCTCAGTAAGGCTGCTACTTTCAGCTTGCACTGTTCTCCAGTGCCAAAAATAGGCATAAGCCCTTAAGGAAAAATCCAGAGTGAATGTGGAGCTCATCTCATGTGCTTCCTCTCTTCTAGGGATCATGGTCTCACAAGTCCTGGCTCTGTTGGCTGTTCTTTAATTGCCTTCAAATTGATGTTTTATATATTTTGTGCAACGTTTTGAGTTGGAAGATAGTCCAGTATAAGCCAGTTCACTGTGGCTGGAATTGGAAGTCTCCTAATGTTTAATTCCTGTATATCCATTGTTTGACATGCTTGACACATAGTAAGGTATTTAGTAAAAGCTCATTGAGCTGAGTTGAACTGAAAGGTTATAAGAATGGCTTTAGGTATCACTAATAAAACATGTAATTAATCATCTATTTAGTTTACCTCAAATAAATTTTTGTCCTTTACTCAAATTGTATTGGTATTTTAAGAGTGAATAGTAAGGATTTTTTTTTACTTGAATCATTCATATAATTATCCCCATTCATTATTTAAGTTTGCTGTTTAGAACTAGAGTCATGTGTATGTGTATGCCACTTTGAAAAAATCTTAAATTGCTTTCATTAGTTAGAATTTAATTATTCCATTTATAAAAATTATTTATAATTAAATTCTCTTAATTAAAAAACCACATTATTTAATTTATAACAAATTGTTTAAACATTTTCTGGAGTATTGCTATTATGTAAATTGAAATCTAAATTTTATGTGTTTTACTTCAGTGAGAAAAGTTGAGAAGGAAAGAATATTTAGTTCATGCAATTTGGAAGAAAAATATGCAGTATTATCCAACTTTTGTAGCTATTATAGCATAGCCTGATGTTTAGCTGTTGTGATTTGAGATTTGGTTGATGTGTTCATTTTGTGTACTATTTCAGCTCAAAGGAATTAAATTTTCTTAAGGTTCTCACTTAATTCATGTAGTATTCTTGGTTATAGCCCTTTCTTCCTGAAAACAAGCATGCAATATAGCATGAATTATGTGATATAGTAAAGCAATTTTATATTTACCCCTATGGAAGTTTCATTTTTAATCAGTGGAGGTATCTGTATAGTAAACATACTTGTTCTACTTAAAGTTATTACTTGTCATCTGTGATGTTTTTATGTTATATACACCTTGTCTGTGACCCTTCTTCTTTGACATGTAAGATTTTATTTATACCACCTCTGACCTAATAAAATTGTACCTTTGACCTTATGCACTTGACATATCAGATAACTTACTCTTGATCTTTGACACATTTTGTTTTAAGCCTGTTAAACATAATAGGTAGCTGCCCAACAAGAAAGGTATATTGTTTCGTGTTTTTATTGTAATTTTACAAGGGATTTTTTCTTGTTTTTTGAGACTTTACAAAAAGAGCTGTTTTATGTTTTATTTTTTTTTCTCTTCATCTTAGAATCCACATGATAAAAGTAGCTAATTTTTGAAAGTCACAACAAATGGGTGCTAGTTTAAATACATTCCAAAATTTAATTTTTATACATTGCTAAAGAAATAATAAAATATAAGTTTTAACTAAAACTCTGATTTCTGTGTCATCCTGTTTTCACACTGATATCTAAAGAAGCTAATAGTGATTTTTGTGGACATTGAATGAAGTACAATTATATACAGAGAATGAAGTTGAAAAGTTTTTTTTTTTTTTAATCCATATATTTCTCTTTGTAGGATTCCTTGGCTTTGAAAGCATATAAAGTATACAAGCTCTGTTTGTTAACCTGTGTGCTTAAATAAAGTTTATTTTCATTTGCTGCATGGATTATAAAAAGGAGTTTCATGAAGGATGTTAACTATAATTTATTGGATGTTTACAAGCAAATGTGATTTTATAAATCCCAAATTAGTATTTCAGTGTGGAAAAATTATGCACATTAGGTGACTGAAAGAAAAAATGATATTTTAAATTAGCAAAACTGTAAAGACGTTACTGTATTCAATGAAATGTAAGCTGATTTCTTTCGCCAGAGGGTGCTGGTGTTGAGGTGAAAGAAATCTCCTAGATGTCTCCCAGAATTGAGGACAGTCCAGGAAACAATAGATAATTCCTAATTGATTCGTTTCCTTACCTTGCTTACCTATGTAGAAGCAAAAGTATTTGCTCTCTTTTTTATAATCATGTTAGGAAAGCATTTTGTCTACTTTTCAACAGAAAATCAAGTCAGATGAACAAACTAGAACTCATTTAGAATTACTCTTTTTTTTCTCCCCAGTACCTCAGTTGGGTACACTTTAAGTTAGATTGGGAAATTATCTAAAAATGTCTTACCCTTTCTTATAGGATATAGCTTCCATTGCCTAAATTTTCTCTTTAATAGGATGGGAAAAATTTTATGGTGTGTGTGTGTGTGTGTGTGTTTGTGTGTGTGTGTGTGTGAGAGAGAGAATGTGCGAGAGAGAATTGTGTGAGAGAGAACGTGTATATATTCAGTGTATAACACACACATATATAGCTGATTGTTAACATATATTTCTTCTAACTTTTGGAATTCTTGTGGTAAATTCACTCACATTGTAACTAGGGACATGCAGAGAATATTTGGCTATTTATCCATAGCTGAGTTAGTCCTCTTCATTGATTTAAAGAAAGATTTTTAACTAGGTAACCAATTTGTTTTAAACTTTAGTTTGACCCAATAATTTAAACAGTTTCTCTGGTTTGTACCTAACCTCTTTTGAATAACAATCCTCGGTCCCCATCCACTTGCTTATACCTGTGTGGATTAAAGGAAGAGTATGGCTTATAGGACCCCATATTACGAGGAAAAGTTGAGGTCTTTCTACGTCTTTTGTCTTTTCTGGTTTCCAGTTTGAGGCCCTTTTCTACCTGTTCACTTAGTCTTCTCTGGGCCATCAGTCCTGAAAAGTGGCTGGTGAACTCTTGATCTGTTCTTTCCACTTAGTGTTCCAGTGGAGCATCAGACATTTATTTACCTCTTCCTGACCAGGTCACCCCTCAGTCTTCTCTGCCTACGTATCTCTGAGTCTTTGCCATAACCTTCATTCTGGCCCTGGCAGGCCTTTTGGCTTCTACCACAGGGTTCATACCACATAAGAATTAAGGACATTTTGGGAGAGCTAAAACACAAGGTCTCTTCCTGATTGCATAGCATGGCCATATTAATGGACCTATTTGGTGTCAGGGACAGGTGGAGAGATCATTTCTTTTGAGAATCAAAATTACACTTTTGGC